ACAGTAACTGATTGCTTATCTAGACTCTTTCAGATAGGGGTCTTTGACGCCTTTAAAAAGCAATATCTGTGTGTTTCTCACTAAATTGCCTGCATGTAACTGATTTATTCATGTGCAGAGGCCATCAGTATATCATATGCACAGTGAGTTCAATAAATCACATTTTAAGCATGCACAAATTACTGCTTAAACACAACTTCCCTCTCTGAGACTGCAATAGAATTTAACACTTAAACCAACAGCCAAGCAAAAGTCTATAACTGGTAAGACAGACAACATAGTGAAAGTAAAAATGGTTTCAGGAAAGGAAAGTACATTTGGTACTAAGGTACAAATGTACCTTAAGTACATTTTACATCCAGGTTTTTAGAGCCCAACAGCTGTCAAAAAGTAGGACATGGATTTTGGAGATGGAAAAGAAAAGGAGAGATGTTTAAGCTGTCATGTAAGTCATGGGTATAAGGTGCTGGCAGCCAGCAAGAGACCACAGATAATATTAGAAGGGCAAGAGGAGTGAAATATGCAAGGAAAGCAGAGAGAAAGTGAGAGGAAAGTAAGAGCAGGATAGTGAGGGAGGTTTGGAAATATGATTTTGCTGTGGAAAAGGCCTTGGAAGATGATAGTAGAAGTTTTAACATAGGAAAGCTGAAGGTTCTGTTATGCATCCTGGAGAAAGAAAAGTTTGTAATTTGATATGACTCTCTAGATAAAAAGACTTCTGAGACAACAGGTGTGTGGAGATGAAATAATGAGGCAAGAGGGTGGTAAGGTTCAAGCTTTTCATGCAGAAGAAGTGGATCTCTGGATCTGAGAAGGATGGTGGTTTCATTAAAGGGCCTTAGTTTGGGGAAGGAACTGGATATTTTGGGAACTTGAATTTCAATGGAGAGCTTGAGACTGAAAGCTTGGGGCATGAGATGAGAAGTTAATGGGACATGCTTGCAGTCATTCACACGGAATAAGTGCTGCTCTCTCATAAACCTTTCTAGCAAAATATGATTTTTCTTTCTTGGAAATACAAACCTCACAGCTCATCTTAACTAGAAAATCTTGCAATTTAGCTATTATGTTAGCCTAATCAGAATATAATGCCTCTTGATGTGCGTATGGGAGAAAGCTGGCATTTATGCAAGAAGTTTGGGATGATACCTTGTTTGTCAAAGCATGAAAGCAACATAAAAACACCTGTATACTTGAAAAATTAGAGAATACTTGGAAATTTTTGTTCTTTTCCTCCATGCTCTCATCAAGTCTGCAGGTGACAACAAATTGGAAGACTCAGTGGTGGGGCTGCTATTCAGACAGGACAAGAAGTTGGAGAAATGCAGGTGCTGCATCAGACAAAGACCCTTTTGCCAGGCACCTCAAAAAGAAAAACCGACCCAAGTAGGAGGTGGAAAATACAGTGTAAAAGATCACATAGCAACTCAAACTGAGACCTTGTCAGAATGACACAGTGGTCTGTGTAAAGTGATACATATACAGCTGGTAAAATTTATTGTGATATTAAATTATTCACTTCACTAACAACAGTAAATTTTAACTTGACAACTAACAGTTCTTTTGATCTGTGACCTGGAGATAGCAACAGAACACATTTACATCAGGCCTGCAGAGAACAGCAAAGTTACGGACAGATTGATAGACTCAACACAGGGCTACCATTCAGAGATACATTGACAAGCTGTAGAAATGTTCTGGAAGGACTCTGAAATTCAAAAAGGACAAATGCTGAGACCAGCACCTGGGAAGGAAGAGCCCTTGGCAATGAGACAGGTTGTGCACTGAAAGCCTGAGGACAGATCTCTGGAAAGAGCCTGGGCATCCTGGTGGAGAGCAAGCTGTGGGTGAGCTGGAAGTATGCCCTGGCAGTGAAGAAAGCCAGCAGCATCCTGGGCTTTGTGAACAGGAGTAGGATATATGAAAAACTGTGGACGAAGCTCTTATCCCCTACTGCTCAACACACCACATCTAAAATCCTGCAGGTTTGCCTTCCTCCCTTGTACAGGGACGACAGCAGTAGACTGGAGCAGGTTTGGCAGAGCGACCCAGGTTTGGCTGGGATGCTCAGAGGCCTGGAGAACCTGACCCAGAGGGAGAGGCTGAAAGAACTGGCTTCTTCAGTCAGGGAGAGGGTAGGCTTTGGGGAGGATCTTCAGTCAGCCTTATCATACCTCTAAGGAGACCACCAAGAGGACAGACCACTTGTTCACAGTGTTCCGTGGCAAGTGGATGAGCATTAAGGCATATAAAGTGTTCAGATTGCAAGGAAAACACTTTCACTATGAGGACAGTCAGGTGTACACAGAGGCATTAGTCATCTCCATAATGCATAATATTCACTGTAGTGTGCTGTAAATCAGCTATTGCCATTTAAAAAAAGACATTTGGATAATACTGGGATTAATTTTTTGAAAACATTTCATGCACAGCCACAATAAAAAGGTAAGTGGGAATAATAACAAAATGTTTTGTCATTGTCTGGATTTGTGGTGATCCCACAACTCAAATTTTGCACATAATTTTAGATTACATCATCTCAGAGAAAAATAAAGGAGGGTGAAGCATAATGTGGAAAGGATAGTCTGAAGTTTTGAAGCTTTTTCCATACAAAGAAAATTCAAAAGTTCTTTTGTTTGGAAAGCATATTAGAGAAAACAGATACTAGAGATCTGTAAAATTATGAATGGCATAAAGATGTTGTAGAAAAGATTATTCCCTGTCTCTCAGAGGCATTCTTGCATTAGCAATTATATCAGCTATAACAGAGCACAAAAATTGATGCTGTGAGGTCAGATGTCCACGTTTGCATGTGAAGCAACTTGTAGTCCCAAGGGCTAAATTCCCATTAGTGGTTGAAGCACATTACTGGAACACTTCTGAGCTCTAAGAGCTCATCTTCTGTTTCTAGTTTTACCTGAAAGGAAAACAATTTATTTACTCCAAAACTGCTCCACCAAGGGACATAAAGTACAGTAAATGGAGTCAGTGTGAGATCTGGTTCACAAGCATGCAGAGACACGTGCAATGCTGTTTTAACACATTGTTCTGGAAACAACTTCCAAAGATGTAGTTCACTAAGCTGCCAGGTGCTGCAAGGGCACATATGGGAAGGTCTCAGTCTATATTACATTTTTTCTCACAGTCTTTCAATAGCTCTTCTCATCCATGCAGAAAGAAGAGGCTGTGCCAAAATTATGTACTTTGGTATATCTGATAACCTCAGAACACTTGTTCATACATAATTTAATTTTACGCGAGCACTTTTAATGTAAATGGTTATTGTAGCTTGCATATTATTCATTTGGGAACATTTTTAGAGTAAAATTTTCTATCTTGTACCTTCTATTTTCTAGTTTTAAAAAAGTAGGTCAACTTATAAAATTGAGAGGATATTTTCATTTTTTTGTAGTTTTATTTAGTGCTTTGCTAATACTTTATAGAAGGTTGCAAAGTGCAACAGATGTGCCTACTGATGCTTACTGAAAACCTTTTTGGTTTGCACACTTCGGTGCATATAAAAGTGTGATTTGCACAAAACATTGTTTTTGTTATCTAGTAACAGGTTCCCACTAACAGTCTGCCAGACTCTGCCAGCACTGTGCATGCATATTCATGTGACTTCAGTAGAAGTTCTTGTTCAGAGTGTAGCAACACAGGCATATACAAGAAAGTTAAATAAAATATATTTTTTGCACAAATACATGCCCATACATTAATTATTTGGGGACTATGTTGTTTGGGGATTGAAATCATGTATGATAGGATTTTTTAAGTAGTAGAAAAATACATTAAAAGATGTTTGGTGCTCCCTCAGGTCTTCTGTTTCATAATTCAAACCCCTACTCTATGTTGCTGTTCAGTTTTTGAGGAGGTCTACAGCTCTCAGCTTTTATCTGCAGATGGTTAAGAAATGTGATTTACACTCTAGCTGGAAATACAAAAGGTATTTTTCTGTCAGAAATTATTAAAGAATACAGAATGCATCATAAAAATTTCTCATTCCATGAAAACAGAGGAAAAGTCCAGAGTACAACAGTCCTATATCAGAATCGGACAGATTTTCTGCCTTTACAACACAGCTCCCAGGCTCTTTTTTGTGCCACAGCCTACTGTTTGACACAGCTGCACAGACTCTTCTCCAAACTCATGTCCTGACATAGGAAGAGGTCTGCTTCCACAGCACCTCTCTTGCTTCTTGGAGAAGTCTGGGGGACAATGAAGAGGACAGACCTTTTGGCAGGACCCCACGCTCAGGCCGTCTTGGAGACACAGGATTTTTACTTCCACTTGACTTGTTTGCATCTGCCTATATATTTTTGAGGTGTTATCAGCGTAGAAACAGTGATTTAAAAATTGAATTTTCACCTGGTATGCATGATATTAAACATAATGAGCATTATATTAAAGCAAGCACAATTCATTTAGCGGATTTATTTATTTTATCTTTGAAAGATAATCTCAGATTCTAGTAAAAAGGAATTCAAATGTGTATCAACTGTTGAACTATGTGGGTACAGATCTGGATATTTTTGGTTACCAAGGAATTCAGATGAGTAGAACCCACCTTAGGGAACCCATTTTAACCAATTACTGAAGATATTCATTACAGTATATGGAGCCTTTCACTTCTACATCACTAAGTCAAACTCAGTGAAAGAAGGCACCAAAAGAGAGGTGCTCATAAATCTGTATAACTTAAGCAGATATCATTGTTTTATTGTGGTAGAGAAATCCATATACAAACAAACAAACATATTATTTTCTAGACGTGGAACACAGAGTTACTTTTTAAGGAACACAGTGTTACTTCTTAAATCCTTCAAAATCAATTCCAAAGATAGCTTCTTGTCCAACAAAGTGATGAAACTTAGCAGTGAGGTGTGAGATTTCCTGCTTCTATTTGTCTTTTTGATAACTGGAGGAAGGAGTGTTAACTTTTTTTGCTAGTCAATCTGGTTCTTTTTAAAAAGATTTTTATCTCCTTGTCTGTTTTTCAGCAGGTTTTCGAAGGCGCTCAAATACTGTGACCAGGAGGCATTTCCCACATGCTGCTCACAGGATGGACTTCATGGACTTCGATGATGATAGCCGTGGATGGCGGTTTGATATGGACTTGGTGGTCATATACATTTATTCAGTCAACTGGATAATAGGATTTATTGTTTTCTGTTTCCTTTGTTATTTCTTTTTCCCTCTTTAGGCTGTAGAAATAACAGTTAAGGAAAACGAGAGTCATGGGAACAGAAAAATTGTGAATAGAAAAATATTGAAAAAAGGTTAAAATATTTGATACTGCATTTTTATCATTCAGAATTGGAATAGACTGCATCAAGCATGCTGTGCAGCTGTTTGTTACTTCTCCTATATGTGACAAAGTACTTGAGTTTGGTTACAAATGTAATGTGAAATCCACATCATACTTCATTCAGTGGGAGTTTTGCCTTTTGGAAATTTTGATGGGGAAAGAATTTACCCCTAATTTATAAAGTGATTACTCTGTAGAAGTACTCCCAGTTTTAGGGAAGTCTGTGTACTACAAAAGAATGTAATCTATAGAGTCATTTAGGGGTTTCACTCTATGTTGACACACTTCACTCACTCATTGATGCATCAATTCCTCATACATAAAGCAATAAAGATGCTTCCATTTTTACTCAGATCCTTTGGGAGCAGGAGAAGTGCTGTACCATGCATTGTGCAGACATTCATCAGAGCTATTTCAGTGCCATGATCCAAATCCTGGAAAATTTTGACAACTGATAGACCTGTCAGCATTCCACTGTGATATTTTGAGCCTATTAACCAAAAAGAAAAATTACACTGCAGTGTGCTGCCAGTTCATCTTTTCTGCAAATATTAATCAAAAGGAATCAACTAACAACCACAAGTTCTGCACAGTAAGAGGACCATTTTTGTGCAGATTCCCACTGTAGCACCATACCTTTTTTACCCATTCAGATAAGTGTGTTTGGATCCAGCAAGACTAATGGCAGGCAAGCAGCAGGCCTGTTGGCTATGATGCTGTTAGACACTGACCCAAATAAACACTGGAGACAGAAACATTCTCCAGTATAAGAAATCAGTATCATTATTAAATTGCTGTAAAAATTGAGGATACTTTTAAATGTGGGCTCTCCAGGACTTTATGTCTCATGGGACCGGACATAAGAGGGCACAGTATTTATTTGCACCTTTCTTGTGAAACTATTCTGAAGCACTTTGTAGTTACTCTAAATAAAAATTGATGAGTTACAGTACTAAACTGCAACCAGTTTAACAAGAATTCCAGACTTGCTATTTACACAGTATTTTTAAGTGGAAGAGCATCTATTAAATTATAGTACAAGATACTAGAAATGAATGTGGGAATCAGGTTCTGAAGAATGGCACACAGTAGTTTAGGGCTTTACTTTTCAGGGAGGTACAAGGAAGTTTTTATTTCTAGTGGCATGACTCTTCAAAGTACACTGTACTTTCATCTAGAAAAGCATGTGAGTGTAGGTATATTGTCCCTCTAGTATCAGAATTTGTGTGGGAGACCTGTGGTTTTTCAGTAGGTGGTGTACTCCCCTGTTCTAGCAGAGAACAAGGAGAAATATGTTGTGGAAGGTGCCATCTGCCAAATGTGATGGAATGAAATCAGAGTTTTATTAAGAATGATCTTATATTCCTTTACTGGAGCAGCTCCAGTATGGTCAGCCTCTTACAGGCTATGAAGAGATCAGGAAAAGAAACTTTCACTTAATCTGAAAATCAGCAGTAAATCAGCTACAAATATTTCATTTCTAACAGGCTGCATAAAACAATCTTTTCAAGAACACATGAGCAGAACTAAAAATTACAAAAACTACACAGATTAGACTAAATAATCTGTTGTCTTTTTAAATATATGCAAATTTAAAGAGATGTAAGAACTGAAATTCCCCATCACCACATACTTGTGGCTTTGCCAAAAATACATTTTTGTAATAAGAATAATCCACATCCAGTTACTTTGTCTCTTCCTAAAAGTGACTGGCTCTATTATTAATGACATTAAGCATAATCTTTCTAAAGCTTTAAGGCTGGAATAAAACATTTGGTGGAAGTATTTTAAAAACTAGGGGGTATAAGTCATACGCTCCTATTTGGCTACATGCAGATGTGTGGGTGTGTATGCTAAAATATTATCCACAATTTTAAACAGTTCTCTCATATATGCCAGGACTGCCATTCTAACTGCAATTTTTGTTTGCCTCTCTAAATTTCTGAAATTACAGCTCATATGTCAGAAAAGGGAGAGACCAACTCCCTGTTAAAAAAAAATTGCTTCTACATTTTGATCTCAAAAAACCTAAAATAAAAAAATGTCATGAAAAATTACTTTAAGTGATATAGTCTAAAATTCCAGTAATAATATTATTTAAAATTTTAACGAGGCTGTCTGGTAAAGCAATATCCTTCAGTACATATTCAAAAATATATTAAGACATAATAAATGTAATATAGAAGCTAACTAGTTATATAAGAAAAAGTTACATCATTTTTAATAGCATGTTACCATGGTTTTATTTGAAAAAGGGCAACAAAGAAGAGTAAAAATACAATTTAATATTGGCTTCTTTTGTACATTTTCAACAAGAATTGATGACTGAGAGAGACATTTTTCTAAAGTTAGTAGGACTCACAGTTTTGCAGGACATTTCTAATTGTTTAACTCTACCTTTCTTCAAGGCCTAAACAGTTTCTTGAGCAATATTGTTTTATTTTATATGGATTGTTATTAATTCCACAGGAAGATTATTCTTAAATTATTTAAAATGTACGTTATGAAGGCTACTCCAACTCTGAGAGATTAATCCTCCATAGGAGGAAAACACCAAAGAGGTATAGAGTGGAGATGCACATTTTTTGTCATATATCGGGATTTTTTGAGATACATACTTCTGTAAAAATGCAGAAACCATTTAAAAGCTTAAATTTGGTTTTCCTTGAAGTCTGCTGTAAAATCCTGTCAATATCTCTTCGAGCAAGAGCAGGCCCTTTGTAGGCTATTTTCTGGTTCAATTGATCCTGATAAGCAAGTGTGTATTTGTAACTATCGTAGTATTAAAATGTTTACAATAAAATTTGGGTTGTTTTTAATATTTTGCAGTCATTTCATTAGATTTTGCTTGGTGGAATTATTTTTTTTTATTCATTGTATTCTATGACATCCCTTTTGTTTCTGTTTGGGGAGCAGCAAAGTTTTGCTGATTTTTTCACTACTGGGATTAAGTTTTTTTATATTAGCAGCCTTTTATTTGTTTCATTACTTTCCAGGCATCTTTTGTCAGAAATCATCTGGGGGCATGGTCTGGTTCTTAACATATGCTGATAATGAAGAATTCTCCGTGCTGGCTTTGTTAGTCAAGACCATTTAGCAGTTGAAGACAGCAGAAACCCAGGACAAGACTTAGGTATCACATTTACTGGAAAAGGACCTTCATGCCTACTCAGAAGTGTGTGAGTTTTTTGTCAACCAGTGGGTATGTTTGTAGCTCCCCTACATGCCAAAGGTTCAGTCATCTTGCTTCTCTCATAAGACAATTCTAAAAAAAAATCCCAAAACATAGCTGCTCAGGGAGCAGCTGCTGTGAAGCACAACAGAGCCTTTCATGGCTTGTGCCTGCCTACAGAAACTCAGATCCCAGTGAAGCTTCTCCCAGTATTCTGCATATACACCTCGTGTTTTTATCACATGTCAACTGCTTCACTTAGTGATACTGAGATGGAAAAGAAGGAAGAACCAGTGTGTTTTGTCGTTTTTAGAGAAAATTATTGCTGATAACATGAAAGTCTGGGAGTAAGATTATCTATTGTAGCTATCATCTGACAAGTAACTGTCTTCAGGGTGTGTAGTGTTGCTTTTTGGGTGTGTTTTCAGGATCTTTTGTTCTTTGCTATCCTGACAACATTATAACTATGAGATGCACACTCTCCTCTGGGGAATTCTAGGTCACAGATGAACAGAAAAGAAAGATAGGATATCAAGAGCATCTGCTGGTGTTCAGCCCCATACCCAGGCAGAGGCTATGAGGAAAGATGCTTTGGATTGCTCTGGATATGGACCAAGACACCAAGCTATCCTTAGAGATGCCTTTTATTACCAGAAAGTTCTAAGGCAGACAGTACTAGTATAAGGACTTAAAGATCACCATTTTCTGTCTTAAACACAGTTACCACAGAAAGACTTTTCCATGAGATAAGCACAGAATGGAGTGACAGAACGGCCCAACTCCAAGCCTGGCAGATCTAGCTAGCACATCCTGGGTAATCAGACAAAAATTCACAGTGACAAAGTGTGTAAAGAATCTGCTGCTCGTGTGCTTATCGCTGGTCAAACTAAGATCCTGATCAGCAGGTTATGGGACAACTGGCATCTGCAACCACCATGCCTCTGTGCATACCTGAAACTTGTACAGTGAATTAAGACATCATGAGGAATACATGAGACAAGATAAAGATGTTGTCTGAGTGTTATCTCAGGCCTAGGGGGTAGTAAACAAAGCTGGGGAGAAGAATGTATCAGTGATAATGGCTGAATCTATGGGCCAAGAGGAAAGTCAACTCACCAACTGTGCTGAAGTCAGCTCAGGCTGGGTAAAAGGTAATTCTGGCAGGCAGAGATTGCAGCCACCAACTCACAACCCAGAGGAAGACTGAGCATGAGACTCAGTATTAGCACTAGAAGTGAGGGAATCCTTTAGCCAATAGAATAAGAGAACTATGTAGCCAATGACCATTAGTTCCTTTGCTTACAAAAATGTATAAATAGTGAAAAGCTTTGAATTACCTCAGAACCCTACCACCAAGAACCCTGGGTTAAGAAGGATCAAAAGGACACCTCTGGATCTATGGGTGGTGACTATCTTCTGCTCTCTCTTGCTTTCTTCTCACTTGCTCTCTCCCTCTCCCTCTCATTTTATTGTTAAATAAAATCCATTTATTGTTAAATAAAATCCATATGGTCCCATTTGCACCTTAGTTCAGGCCAAGGCTTCTGTCAGTAATAGTATCCTTAACAAACTGTGAGGTGGATTTAAAACTGGCTTGAAGAGCAAGCTCATAGTGCTGTGATTAGTGGCACAAAGTCTACCTGAAGGCGAGTAACTAGCGGTGTATCCCGGAAAACAAAGCTGCATCCTATCCTGTTCATCATCTTCAATAGTGACCTGGATTCTGGGCCAGAGCATACCCTCGGCAAGCTGCAGAGGACAAAATAGGAAGAAATGGATAGTACACCAGAGGGTTGTGCTGCTGTCCAGTGGAACTTAGACTGGCTGGAGAAATGGACTGAGCGGAACATCATGCTGTTCAACAAGAGCAGTCCTGCACCTGGGAACAGCTCCCCCATGCCTTGGTACATGCAGGAGGTAACCCAGCTGGAAAGCAGCTCTACACTCCCAGAAAACCTGAGAGTTCTGGTAGACTTCAAATTGAATATGAGCCAGCAGTGCATCCTTGTGTCAAGAAGGCTAATGGTGTCGCAGAAGATGGTCCTGCCACTTGGCTCAGCACTGGTGGGTCCATCTCTGCGGGGGCTCTGTCCAGCTCAGGGCTGCCCTGTACAAAGGGAATACAGATTATTAGTGAGATGCCAGCAAAGGACCACGGAAATTATTAAGAGAATGAAGTCTCTCTCATATGGGTAATTCTGTGAAGTCATCACACAAGAATTGACTGGTTGAGGACTAGAATAAAGGAATTCTGAATAAGGGGTAAGTAAAACAGAAATGTCCGAGGAGAACATCGTGTTTTCCCTTAAAAACAAAAACAGTATAATGCTAGAAAAACTTGGCCCACATTGTTATTCATTTCTGTACTTTTCTGTACATATCCATCTAGAATTAATTACAATTTTCTCTTCTTTCAGTGTTATCTTGATTCAATACGACCAGTCTCTCTTTGGTAACCAGTTCAATCTTTAAAAAGTTATTTTTCTTTTTACTGATTGAAATCTGTGGTTGTTGCAGTTCTCTGCAGTACTTATAAGAGTACTAAGGAAAGAATCACAGAAGGTTTAGTTATATTATTTCCATATTAGTAATCCTAGTGTCAGAAATTGATATGCCAACTTTATATCTAAACTTATTATTTAAATGTTCAAGTCTAAAATCTAATTTTTTACAGGAGAGGGTTTGAATTCAAATTTCAAACAGTACCTCCTATTTTGTCTGCCTCAAGTTGTCATTCCCAATATGAGACCTTCCTTTTAAAGTGACCTGATGCAGAATTGAAGATCACATTTCTTCAAAATGGATTCTTTAGGATTTCAAATATTGGGATCTAAAGCCTTAAATGGATGTGTTTATGATGGATTTCAGCAGTGATCTGGACCCCAGCAGAATCAATGAGAGTCATCACTGTAGAGTACGGTTTCTCATATACACCTGTAACTGGATTTGTGTCTTACAAACTTTTTGTATTACTGTAAAACGTATTTTGATAGCATTTCTGGAGTTTTCAGAATTTCTCATGAAAGCAAGTTCAAATTTTATGTTTATTTATATTTGATTACTCTATGACTGAAACTAAACTGAACCTCCAGAGTCTTAAATCTTTGTTGCTGTGATATAACACTGGAAAAAAAAATACTGTCTATAATAGCTTAGTAAAATTACATAGTTAAAAATAACTTATATAATAATTATTTAATTTTGTACCAAACATCTTCTTTGGTTGAAATATTTCTACATTTCTGATGAGGCACTAAAATGTAGACCTATTTGAAAGTACTCTACACCATTACACTGTGGAAGTTTAATCATAAAATGTAATAATGTATAATTGAGGACATTCAACTTTTCACTTGATCATAATTTTTACAGGTTTTTTATTGTTAAAAGAAGTTCCTAAGAGAAGACCAAGGGTATGTATAATCCCACATTTTTCCAGGAGGTTTTACTAAAATTATTTTATTACAGACAAATCCTACATGACAAACTTCATCTCTGATGAACACTGCAGAAAATGTCCTGACTAAGCCGACAAATTTGATCAGAGGAACGCTTCTGGACAAGTCATCAGACTGACACTGGGGGAAAAAAAAGCTCAGGACTTGCTTCTCAAGGAAAGATTCTCATCTGAGCAGAGTTATGTAGGAGACCAAATGGATTTCCTTGTCCTTTGAGTGCTGTCCAGGGCACTTTTTAGTCTCCCCTGGCACTTTGGGGTCCTCAACTGAGCAGGTGTCCTATAACAAGTCCTCAGGAGCTATACAGGGCATCTGACAACACACACTGATTTTCCTTTTCTGCTCTGTTAAAAGATTCCCCAATAATCCCAGGTTTCTTAAGGTATATAGGTTCACCTATGACTGCTGGAATCTATCCAAAGAAGGCAAGATTGTGTACTGTTATTTTTCATTGCTTTCTGTCCTCTGGGGCTGCTCTTCTATTTCAATCAGTTTGTTTTGCTAAGGCATGACATACCACTCTCTCAAAATTCTGAACTTACAGCCAGGTGGGAATCTTAACCTGACTTATTCCACAGCCTTTAATGAAAGTTGTGGCATATATAAATGGAAGGAAAATATATATGCAGGACGAAGAGGAACAAAACACCTTGTGGTACTAGATATAAATAAAACCTCAGGATGTTTTCAAAGAAACTTCTGTGTCCCTGTAAAAAAGATGCCAGGAGCCAGAGTATGGTTGGTTCTTGCAAGAAAACAACCATGAATGTGTAAAATAGCAGATAAGCAAAGGACAGCAAAGCAGCTGCTTCCAGGGAGGTAGTGGATATCAGTACTGGGTAGCAGTGCCAGGATAAATGCCCTTCAGCCTGGCTTAGAAAACTCAAGATCAGTACTAATAACACAAGATTATTTTACTGACCACTGCCTAGAAAACAACTGACTGTTCCCTCAGTTCTGTTTGAGGCTGGTAGGAGCAGAAGAGTGGCTTATGAGCCTGTCTGCTCGTTGTGTCTGAGGAGATGAAACCCCTCAAGGTCTTGGCTCAGGCTGCCTAGACCTGATCTTCTTAAAGGCTCTTTACACATTGGTCCTTGGTCAGGAAAGTATGCTGCTTCTTTCAGGATTGTTCATGGTATATGGAAATGCTACTGAAAAGGCCCCACAGGACTGTTCGAAATTTA